TGGACAGTCAGCCTAATGAGCCATATAGCAAAATGTATCATCCAAATTCTGATGAATAGTGTGTGCAGCAGAATTAAACTGGAAATAGGACAAGGATAGTGAAGGTTTGTTAAAAAGACTGCAACAAGGAATGCAATAATATTTATGCTTAGAATGATATCAGTAAGAGCAATACAAATGCAAAAGAATGTATACCTATGTTTTCTAGATTATACAAAAGCATTTGATAAAGTACATGACAAAGAACTGTTGTAATGGCTATGGTAACCTTAACATATTTGTGAAGGATATTAAAATAATCAAGAATCTACACTGACAGCAGACTGCTTGCATATGGGTAGAAAATGAATTCAGTAGATATACAAAAATAGATAAGGGTGTAAGACAAGTATGTATCTTCTCACTGAACTTATTTAAACTATAAAAATGAGGCAATTCTGATAGAATTAGAAGTCTTACCATGATTCAATATTGGTGACCCCAATCTTAACAATATAAGATATGCAGATGCCACAGTGTTGATAGTAGACACAGAAAGGAAATTACAAGGACTTCTACAGAAGATAGTGAAAGAAAGTGAGAAGAAAGGACTAAACATCAATTGCAAGAAGACATAATGCATAGTTCTCAACAAAAGAATAAGCCCAACATGCAAATTACAAATTGGAGATAACAAAATTAAACAAGTACAATAATTTAAATATATGAGAAGTGTTTTAACAAAGGATGTAAATTGCAACACTGAAATCCAAAGGCACATTGGGATAATGAAAGATGCCTTCCAAAAACTAAGCAAAATACTAAGAAATAGGAAAATTCTGTGAGAAACAAAGAAAAGCATACTCAATAGTTATGTAATATCAGTTGTATTCTATGGCAGTGAATACTGGACAATCTCTTCACAGATTAAGAAGAGACTTGAAGCAAGAAAAACAAAGAAAAGAGTACTCAACTGTTATGTAACATCAATCGTCCTCTATGGCAGTGAATACTGGACAATCTCCTCATAGACAAAGAAGAGACGTGAAGCAACAGAAATGTCACTCTACAGAAGGATGCTGAGAATATCATGGAACGAACATGTGAGCAATGACAAAGTTTTAAAGAAAATGAGAGCCATGATCATCATCAACATCTTGAAGGAACAGCAAATAGAATATTTGTGGTAATATTTTGTAATTTTGTAAGTAGTTATGAAAAAGAGGTAATTAGAAAAAATTAGAAATCCCAATAGTTATATGATTAGATTTGAATAACTGCAGGCAGAAGGTTGGTTTGGTCTAATTGGTAAGGCAGCTTTGTGCTAAAACAATGTTTTCTTTACACAAAAAATGTGTTACTTATGGTCAGAGAATTGCAATGAAATTGAAATGAAAGTAAGAAAAACATAAATCAAAATTAATAATTGAGCGTTCATTTTTCTCTAAAATTAACTACTGGGGTAGGGGGGGCTTGATTAAAACTTGCTATTTATTAAGAACAGAATTTTTTCCCCAAAGATCTTTCCACTTAGTAATTATATATATATATATATATATATATATATATATATATATATATAGCCAGACCAACTTTAAATCATAAGTATTAATGACATTTCTTACACTTGGGGGATAAAATAATCAAGAAACGTTTGTTATCATTCAAGCAAGAAACAAATATTGCTTGAAGGTATGTCTGTGGCAATAAAGGAACAGTTTTTTTCGGCACATTAGCATGATATGAAATATAACAGAATGCCTGCAACATGATTTTTTGTGCAAAGAAACTTCAATTTGGTTTTCCATACTCTCTATTCCTAACGTTAGCAGTTAAAGGGAAATAATTCATGTTAAAAACGAATTTTTCTGCATGTAGCTGCAAAGCAAATCTTTTTTCGATGTTATTTTGAGTTTATTAAATATCTATATTTTTCCTGTGTCGCCTAACAACTCTAGTTTCCTTCATCTTTCTATACATTTCATTATTTCAACACGGCTGATATTTTGTTTTCATAGAGCCCAAATAAATAACAATCAATAAATAATTTTTATTTATATTTCAAACTAAAAAGGTAAGAACAGAATTTACACAGGAATTAATAATTAAATGCTCAGATGAGGAACCAATGTCTCATGGAAAAAAAGGTACTAGAGTAGAAAACTAGTAGTTGTTTATTGTTATTGAATAATTGATGCAGGTACGTTGCAAAACTTTCAAATATTTTTTTCCTAAGCTTAGTACAATACCTGATTTGCAAGTGAAGATCAAACTCATCCCATGGGTGATTTGTTCCACAAGATGGTCTTCCAATCATGTCACAATTTTTTAAAGATGGTCAACCACTTCAAAGTAGAGTAATTAAAATTAATTGAAAAGTGCATAATTAGGAATACTGGACAAATAAGTGACCTTTTTCAGTTTAGAGAAAATTTATAAAAGCAAATGTGTAATAAGATTTATGGTTCAAACTTCAACCTAACATATTCATAATAATAATAATCAATATATTGTGCATGGGTGAATGTAAAAGAGAGTTGATATTTAATGAGCAAAATAAAATCCCCCAGGATAAATATTTACGTTTCCTTGCACCAATCATCATCATTTCATCATTTTTATTATCATAATCAAATCTTCAGAAGAGAATACATTATTTAATTACACTCATTTTTTGTTCTCAATGTTAATCTCTATTTAAAAAAATGCCTTGTTATATCTTTTTAACAACACTATAAGTCAGGAATAAAAAAAATTCTCATAATACCTGGTTTGACTATCTTAACAAGTTTCTAATTGAACAGCACAAGGAAGTAAAATCGTAATTTTAAATGTTGATTTTCAAAGGGGGAGCAATGCTCATCCATTTTGAAAAATTGATACAATTCAATGTTCTATTTTTGAAGCAGCTTCTCCAAACAACAAAGTAAATGAATCAAAATAGCTTTTTTGTGGGTTAGTTTTCAGTTGAACTTTTCATAAGCAGACTCACTGACAATTTTTTAAATTTTTTTTGCAAAGCCAAGAAATCATCTTGTAAAAACCAATATGTAAGGGCAGTTTGGTTCAGAGGAGGAAGAAGCCATAACATTGGCAATTAACAGCATTATTGCTGCTTGATTTTCAAATTGTCTCATGAAACAAACCATGCTTTACTTTTGCCTCAAAATGTAAAACAGACTAAATTACCAGATCAATTTTTGCAATTTAAGATGGTATCACAAAAAAAAAAATTCCAACATTCTTTTATCTAACTTAGAATTTACTTGAAAGTTGATTAATGAACCTTTTTTTTTTTTTTACTGCAAATCAACTTTTCTTTTTTTTCTTGAACTTGGAAAAAAAAAAAAATTTTGTTTACAAATATTTTTTAAATTATACCTGGGTATTTTTTTCAGTAATTGGAAACCTCTAGTTGTACTTTCTTAGGCTCTAAAACTGTTTGACTTTGGAATTGATGAGAAAACAACATTTTGAATAAATACTGTTCTAGTCTGGTGCCCCTGCTATTCATTGCAAGGTTCTTAACAAAATCCAAAGAGTGATCTAATCAATCCTGACTTGGCATTTTATCACAGATGTGATGTGGCTACCTTCTGTCTTTTCTACAAATATTTTCATGGCAACTGCACTGACAAGCTTTTTTTCCCTGGTATACTGGCTCCATGAATTTAAGTGTGCTACTAGATTGGCATCTAGGTCCCACCCTTTTACTGCTGAAATAGTTAACCACCACTTCTACTCCAACAGTTATCTTGCACCTCCCACCTGTGGAAATCCCTTTCGATTTCCTGCTTCCCTCATAACTACAATATTCAAAAATTTAAAGGCAATGTAAATCGCCATCTTCTGTTGTCTTGAATCATGTTCATTTTTTCCTTTCCTCACCCCCCACCCACCACTACTACTATACACAGTCTTTTCTCTCACTTTCACACGCCTTGGTTGGGGTGAAATGATTAAAAAAACAAAAAATGAATACAATCCAACCAAATCTTCCAAACCAAAATCAACAATAAATTTACAAATTATTTCATTGAATTTTTATGACTGATTTTTATAGCGTCCACTTGCGACAATTGCAAAAAAAAAAAAAAAGAAAAAAAAGTTGTTTCTTTCTACCAAACAGTAGAGTAAAAAAAAATCTTTAGTTGACACAAAAGACACAAAATAAAAATGTTATTTTTTCTCTTCCACGCCACATTTTACACAAAAAAGCCATAAATTAAACTAAAAAAAAAGAAGAAAAAAAATGCTCATTCAAATGTTTGAACGTTTTCTTGGTAAGTTTTTTTCGTTAAAACAAAATAAAAGATGACCTATGTATGATATTTTACGTCTATTTCTAATTAATCTAACCTTTGACAATTTTTCTTCAATCAATACTTAAAATTACGCTTAAATTTGAAAATAATTAGTCACTCTCTCCTTTTCCTCCAGGGTTCAAAGAGTTTTAACAAATTTGCTTTGCAAATGTACCGTAGAAGTACCCAAGTACTGTCTTCTTGTGTCAAATTAAGCTTGATGTCATTTTATTTTAATTTAGTTAAATTTTTTGTACAACGTACATCATCAGTTGAAATTAAATTAACTAAAACAGAAGTAAAAAGTTAAAAACTTAGCTCGTCATTTTTCAAACATTAAAGTCGATCCTCACTTGTTATGCAACTGTTGTCTTCTTTTGTCATACAAAAAACAGAATTTAGTAAATTAGTGTACTGTAAACTGTAAAATAAAATTGCAAAAAGTAAACCAAATGATTTTGTCAACCAGTAAATTTGAATTCATACAAAAATGTGTGTATGAAAAAAAAAATAAAAAAATAAAAGAAGCACTACCCGCTGTGACGATGGAGTCTTTTTGGTTGATGTATTTCGATTATTTAATTAAACAACGATTGTAAACTTTTCCAGAAGCCAATAAGTGAAAAGGATCATAAATTTTCATTCTATCATATAACAACAATGTAAAGTGGTATATTAAAGTTGAAAAATGAAATTAAAGGCGGAAAGTTGACTTACTTGAGACGTAAAGCTGTTAGCGTGTTTTGTAACTAAGGAATTAGTTTCAGTAACTAAGGACTAATGAATGCCGGGAAAACAACTTCAATACATAAATAAAAAATAACATTCACCTTGTGCTTCTTACTATTATTATTATACTTACCTGGCTTCAGAGGGTATCCCCCAGACGAGGCTCTGCTGAAGGGCAGAGTCTTGTCTCGGGAAACTGACTCCGTTTTTACGCGGTCTATAGGGAATTTTTTGCCCGACCCTACGGGCTCGGATACCCCACTTTTTAAACTCAGCCTTGTGCCACAGCTTTGCTACGTGGGGCAGCGGGTAAATAATAATAATTATTATTATTATTGTTTAAAGAAGAAATGCTTGCCATTTCGTAAAAAAAGGTGAGGATAATTTTGTGATAAATTATTATAGGATGATGAAGATTGAAATAGGTCAGTATTTTCCTTTGCGTTCTATTTTGTTCCACATCACAAAAAAGTCCAAAAAGAAATGAACGAGTCAAATTGCTTGTTTCTGATTTATTTACTAAATTTTGCTTTTGCTTGACATAAATTCACACAGGAACAAAAATAAAATGTATTGTAGTAGGAACATACAACCTGCCTTGAAAACCAGCATTTATCCTAACATTATCTTGAACACCGACTTTTGTTTGACACCAAAGGCAAAAGGAACAGTATCGAGACAGTGAAGTAAACAGGCCGGAACCTCGAATAATAATTTTCACACCAGCGCTGTTCGCAGTAGTTTTATTAACGAAATGACAGTTTATTATTATTTATTCATCTCGGTTTGACAATCAGCTACATTAAGAGAAAGACTGAAACAAAAACTAAAACAGTTTTGTTAAAAAATAAGAAAGTTTATATTTCATAACCTGAGAAAGGGTCGTAAGGAAAGATATTTTTTAAATTTCCTAAACAAATTTGATAGAAGTATCTTGAATTGGAACCAGAATATTTCAGTTTTGTAATTATTTACTTGTTGAGGGAAATAAGCTTTCTGATATCTGTTTTAGAATTTACGAGAAACCAGACCAAACTTACCGGGAATTAACCTTCTAGTGACTGTTCTATTACAGCACTGATCAAGTGTACTTACTCCAATTTAATCTTCTTTAATGCTGAAGAACATACAACTTTGTCTTCTTTGTCAATTGGAAAAATGGAATTTACAGACAGCAAGAGAGAAAAAGTTAGGAAGTATTTTTTTAAAAAAATGATTTCTGAAACAATTCAGAAGCAAATTTGAACAAAACAATCACATGGGAGGTTGGATTCACGGGGGAAAACATTACTTAAAAAAAGGTTTTTTTAACTAAAAGTGATTTTTTGTGATGGTGAAAATAAAGACTAAAAAAAGAAAGCGTATGTCACTCCCGATTTTTATACTTTTTGAAAAGATTTAAAAATACTCATTCCAAGAAAATTAATTGAAAAAGGAAAAAAAAAATCAAGTCCTTCTTTCGATACAAAATTACCTGAATAAATTTCTATTCATTTAATATTCCCATGTTTTTTTCAAGAAGAAGAATTCAAGTGAAGATAATCAGAATGAATTTGATTTGAATATTCTAGCAATGAAAAATATGATGATGGCACAAAGAAATTCCAAGTTACAAATTTGCATTTGAATATGTCAAAGTTAAATCTAATGCCTGGGCTCAGTCAAGGACATGGATTAAAAAAAGATTCCATTGATGCAAGCAAATCATTTACTCTCCAAGGTTTCAGTCTATGCATTCATTGCACCTTGGTGAAATTAAAGATGCATAACTATACTGCCTGGTACAAGCTCACCATGGAATACCTAATGCATTCTTCACCCATTTAGACCACTATAACCAGTCAAGCTGCCAAAATTACTGATCATATTAACATTGCCCAAACAAGCAGCTGATGGTATACAGCTGAAAATTACAAAGATCCTCCAATATATTGATTCAGGCAAAAATTGCACTGTTGCCAATGCAATCAATCCAATGAACATGGCACTGATCTCTTCAAAGGGCAGTTATTAATTTTACCTAGAAACTGGCACCTATGTATTAATGATGTAAGATGGAAAAAATGTACCCAAAATTGAATGTGCCGTGCAATATGTCCATGACAAATATCTATACCAATCCCATGATTTCATAACTCAGGAACCACATGCATTTGATCACATTTAATCCGATTGTTGGTGAGAATTCAAAAGTGAAGACATAAAAACTTATGTCAATTGTTGTAACACTTGTGCCAAATGCAAAGACAATTACGGCAAATCATTCAAATTGGTAAACAAAGCAGGAAAGCATTTAAAGTTGTTTATCTCATCATAATTTCCACTTCCAAAAGAAAGTCTTATAATCCCAACCAGTTTCAACAGACACTTTGCTGTCATTCCTTGCACAATACCTGCAGAATTTACTACTTTTTTTCTCTGGCACTGAGAAGTCCCCCAAATTATATCTTTTGAACCCTTTCTACATGCTGTACAAAGAAGGAAGTGTGATTAGACCAACATCCTCAAAACCTTTACCTCAGCCAAAGATGACTGCACTACCTCATCATACCAATATTGGTTTGCCCAAATTATTCAGACAAGAAGTTACAAACAATAACCCTGGAGTTTATGGTATGTAAGTAAATGCCCAACTAAGATTGAATCACCACTGTGTTGCTTTTGCTAACAACAATGTCAACCACTAACGTAAATCTGCTTAAACGGCCTTACCTACAAAGACCCATTACAATCAACCTTAGCCAACACATTACACCTACTCTGAATTGGCAATTTATAAGTTACCAAAACAAATGGTATGGTGCTTCAGGTCAGAAACAAAAAGGGTGAAGTCAACTGAATACATTGTATGTTGCCTTGTACCAGTTCAATTAGAACACCAAATTTTGCTGTCCCCACTGCTGTAAGCTTCACTACCAAATTTTCATAACCTTCTGCCCAAGGGCCAAACAAACACCAGAGACTACAGTTATGGTCAGTTCAATTGCCTGTTATTTAAAATTGCAAGCTTGGTACAAATCTGACTCATCCCAAATCAGATAGTTGCAATAACTCCACTGCAATCAAATATGTCTGTTTAAAGACATAACCCATCTAGAACAACAAAATTTCTATGACAATACAAGGATTTAACCAAGCCAATATATCTACTTATTCCTTCTTGAAATATACAAAGATCTTAGGGTGTTGTTACATCCTAAATGATATTCAATTGTTTCTATGATTTCTTTTTGTAGAAGAGAATAACACCTAAATTTAACAAAGACACTGTCTCGGAGCTACAAGAATTTGCAAGAGTACGCTGAGTGACAGCTCCATCCCGAAGAATTGGCGGATGCCTATCTGGGAGTGTTACAAAAATCTTTCAATCCTGTTCCGCAGAATGAGCGACTGTGGCCTGGCATGTATGTTTGTGTGAGGGTTACCAGACTAAGTTAAACACCTTCATGCTTTGACCCAGATGGACGAGTTGTCTATCAACCAGCTATTGGCTTGATTGTGAGCAATTATGAAAGATGAAGTACTGGAAGAGGAACTGGTCACAGTGGTGTGAACAACACAGGATGTGGTGAGAAAGCTTCCCACTGGGGATCCATGTGGCTCCATACATTTTATCATTGCAACGGCCCCAACCATTTTGCAAAAGATTGCAAGGAATCACATACCGAAAGTTGGACACCTCACATGCAATGTTATAAGTGCAATGCAGTAGAGCATGTAGTCTACAACTGTCTGGGAAACAATCCAGGGGAATAGGCCTCAGGGCCAGTCTACTCCCTGAACTTCATATGAAGTGGGTGCTACCTGCAATTGCTGTACACATCAATGGAATAAGGAGTTCAGCCTTGCTAGATACAGGCTGAACTCATAAGCAAGCTGCTTTGTTGTTCTTGGAAGAGGAATGAAGTGGACTTGCTCCCTGTTGGTGAGAGGACCCTCAAGTGCTCTGGGGTAGGATTTATTCAACTTGACACGAGCAACAGGCCCCCTATTGATGTTGAGGTTTTTGTGGTGGACGACAAATTGCTTGGTTTCGACCTGCTGCTCAGATTTGACATTGTTAAGAAGGTGGGAGGCACATGTGTGTCCAGTGATGGGACTATGAGCTTTCCTCAACTTGACTAACCTTTGTGCATGGCCATCACCATCAACGAATCTGACTTCCATGTGGAGAATGACCAGAATGAGAAGATCTGGTGAATGCTGTGGTCACACAGGACAAGACCATCCAAAGAGCCACATCCTCATACATTGATGACATATTTGTCAATGGAAGTATATGCACTGCAACACGTGTATGGGCACATCTTCATCAATTTGGACTGACAAGTAAGAATCCAAAATGTTTAGAGAATAGTTCCCATGTGCTGGGATTACATGTCCAGGAGGAGCAGGGCGAACTGCAATGGAGTCGCGGGAGTGACCTCCCACCACTACTTAATGTGCTCACACATCAGAGCATCTTCTCCCTGTGTGAGAAGTTGACTGGACATTTGCCAATATGTTGCCATGTCACAACTGCATTTACAAAATTGCGTGCAAACTTGGTGACAACTGGCAAGGGTGATGAGGTATGGAATCCACCCTGACTTGAATGCTGATAGACATCATTACCAGATTGGCACAGAAGGACCTGGTGCAAGGTGCTTGGTATGTTAATGGATGCAAAGTTACTATGTCAGTTGATGCAAGCTCTTTGGCCACTGGCATTGTGGAAAGCAGTGAAGCCCTAGTTGAAGATGCCTGTTGGCTATGATTAGAATGTGAACACAAGCATATCAACCTGGCAGAGCTCGATGCAATCTTGAGAAGCATCAACATGGCACTGCAATAGAGAGCAACTGTGTGCACCTGAAGACTGACTCAACATGTGTGCATTGATGGGTTTCCAGTACACTGAAATGTTGATAAAACTTTGGCTCAGCACAATCAAAGAACTGGTGGAAGAATATAAATTGACTGTTGACATAGAGCTCGTCAGATCCCATGCAAACCGAGCTGATCAGTTCACTAGAGTGCCTCAACATTGGCTGGGTGCAGTTTGGAAAGAAACAGAACCAGTGTGCGCCACATCTATGGAAGAGCAGGAGTCAACCCTACATTCAAGCCATCCATTGATGTAGTAGACATCCTGGTGTGAAGCAAACCTTGTACTTTGCAAGATGAATTCACCCTGAGGTTGCAAAGGCAGCTGTTTGAGCAGTAGTTGGAGAGTGTGAAATGTGCTAATCCATTGAGCCGGTGCCAGTGCACTGGAAAGCTAGACGGTTGGATGTGTGCAAGAATTGTAGCAGGGTTGGGATGGACATAACCCATTATGAAGGCCAGTATTACCTGACTCTGACAGCTGGAGTCACTATTCTGCAAGAGAGGGCCACCTGCTGAGCTGCTCATCAACAATGGTGCAGCATTCTGTGAGGAGGCATTTGCAAGGTTTGCTGAGAACTGGGGCGTTCGATTTAGATTTTGGTGTCCCTATCAACCATCAGGGAACGACATCACGGAGAGATGCTCTTACACCATCAAGCATATCGCTGCTTGATTGGGATGTTCCATTATGGAGGCATTATATTAGTATAAGGGGATGCCAAAAGATGACGCAACAGCTTTGTCAGCACCAGCCAACACTATATACAACCCACATAAAATGTGTCGATGTCACACCACCAATTGAACACACAGATCTACAGTGAGGGAGATGCGGTTTAGATAAAGACCCCAAATGGTTGATGTTCGACACAATTCAAAAAAGGAACAGTAACACAGGTCTACAGCCCGCATTCAGTTCTCATCAATGGAAAGCCACGCCTTATCAGAGACCTCCGCCTGCACCAGAGATCTGCTTCGTCGGAAGATGACGGCAGTGATAAATCATCTGAAAGCAACTCAGATTCGCCATTGTTTTTCAATACAAAGCCAGATTATTCACTAATGGAACCAGCAGAAACAGATGCTGGAGAAAACAATGATGATACCAGTAATGAAAAAGACCAAGTGGGCACAAATGCAGAAGAGACGGGCGGAGCCTGTCCACCTATACGTGGAAGTACTCAACGAAAGCAACCTTCATCTCCGTATCATTTATGTGATCAGGAGATCGGGGAGGAGTGTAGAGTAGAAGAGAATAACACCTTAATTTAAGAAAGACACTGCCTCAGAGCTACAAGAATTTGCGAGAGTGCACAAGGGAGGAGGACAGCATTCTTTTTTGAAACGCTGTTCTGTTTTTCAGTTGGTAGAGACTTGGACAGTTAGAAAGTGATTACTTGGATCAGTTTCTCACACTTTTCATCATGGCTAAAGATAAAACAGTGGGACATAATACATGGTCATCAACTGACTGCTGCACAGCTGTAATGGGGAACATGTCATGTGACCAAGGACTAAGCCTTTTTGGTCAATCAGGAGGCACCACAGATTGACAGAGTGAATACTTCTGTGGTTCCCCCTAGAATGCAGAAATAAATGAACCCCAACTAAAAGAAGTCAATGAGAAAAAAATATTATTGATTTCATATTGAATATTTACCTTTACCTGGAAAATAATATCCAATTAAAATTACTCAATTGGAAATCAACCAAAACACATTTTTAAAAAATTTATTATTTAATTTTTTTCTTTTTGCTTCCAACACCAAAGGAAGCCAAACTGAAGGAAATCAATCAAAAGAAATAAATTTATTTTTAATTTGCCTCACCATGACAGCAAAATATGGGAAGCAACAGTTTACTGATGGAAGGATTCTGAAGGACCTTATGTCCAGAGAACTGGCTACCAGCAAGAGTGCATGTGGGAGACCTGATCTTCACTTCAAGAACATCTGCAAAAGTGACATAAGGGTGATGGACATAGACATCAAAAATTGGGAAGACTACACCAATGATTTCTCTCTCTAGAGAAGCAATTTACACCAAGGCCTGGAGTGAAGAGAGAAGAAACAGAGGCTTGCCACTGGGTGAAGCTTGCTTGAAGGAAAGAAAACACAGCAACATCAGGGTCTTCACATGCATTGGTTGCAACTGAGACTGTCACTCCTGTGTGAGCCTGTACAGCTATAACAAATGTTGTGCCACCATCAGCAGCTGAGGCATAACTTTTTGGGTGCAGATCTATAGTCTCTCAAGACTGACAGGTGCCATATATATGAGAGCCTATTTTGGGATGTGGGGCTAAGAGAAAACTGAAAGCAAAGTTGTTAATTAAGTCTGAAAGGGGAGTAGCATAAATTAACAAAATACTAATTAAAATGTTAATTAGTTGCAATAGAGGAAATTAGAAAAGACAGAAAGCCAGAACAAGGTTTGAACCAGTGGATAACTTAGTAAGACAAACCACTCAAAACTAAGTAAATCTCCAACTTTGTCCCCTTCACTCCCTCCTTTTGCATGATGGATGAATCTGGGATGTTTCAACCATATTACTAAAAGTTATTCAAGTGCTAAAAAGGTAAAAATTGTTGCAGATAAAAGGAGAAAAAAACATTGACAGCCATACTCCCAGCAACAAGCGTCAAAACTATCACTGAATGACTTGTTACATGTTTTCCATCAGATTTGTTACACACTCTCACCATAGGTGAAATTAGTCGCTTTCTCCCATATCAATGTTCTCTTTTATACTAGGGAATGATATAAATATGTGTCAAATAAAAGATTAAAAAAATTTCCGTTTTTGGTTGTCTACCCATGCACAGACTACTCAATGTCTTGATGCTAACAGGTAAATGATTTGTTTTCAGTTGTTCTATTGTATCCATGTACACCATTTCCACCACACTCCCCCCTGATTACATGATCACAGAGATAACAGCATGGAGCTAGTCTCTTCTGCCTAAATGTGCTTTGCAAAAGAGTGGTCTCTACTTCTTCCCTAGGTAAATCATTTTCAAGGGAGTCATCAGTTGCATATGAATCAGGTTCTGAATCATTTACTTGTAAGAAGTCATTAGTTACACTTGCTTCAACTTCAATCCCTTTCTCATTTTCTGATGATGTATGATTGTTTTCACTCACCATTGCATCCATTCCCAAAATGAGACAAATGTCTTTCACATTTCATGCCATCCTGTTGACCAACACTGACCGTAAACTGTTAATCTCACTCAGTTTGGATGTATATCAACATACAATCATTCATAAACTTAGACATTCTGTCACAAAATGTCATTGTTGATGAGCAGTTGACAGGAAATCCAATTGGTACAAAACCTTGCCAAAGAAAAAGTCACCAGATTGAAAAGCAAGCAAGACTGAAAACTATGAGTGTCAGTTTATCAGTTACCACCATAAAGAGTGATGTTCATTCCTAATGTTATAATCTTCCTAAACCATATCTTCTGATTCATGTTACACAAATTTCCAGATGTAAATGCTCAGAAACACAAAACTGAACTAAAAATTCCATCAAACATGCATCAGCTCTGCATGCACCTTCTGCTTTTCTTACCCAATAGCACCCACACCCGCCTAAAGAAGCAAAATAGGAATTGGAGCCAATCTGAACCTACAAAAGGACTTAAAAGACCATCAAAGAGACATCTTCAGCAGTTGGTCGACACAACAGCCAGGGTTTACATGCTCATCAGAACGCCATCTCCACACCCAGA